GCTCCCGCCGAGGGTTAGGATCCCATGTGGAGACCGGTTCCCGCTCACTGGCTGAGCATGGTGCGGGTGCAACACCGAGGGTTGCGATCCCGTTGCCGGTCAGTAAAAAAGACAAAAAGGAAAAAAAAAAAAAAAGAAAGACTTTATATCATAGAACGTTATGATATTGGGAGATGTCTGTAAAATAAAGGCTTTAAGGCAAGTTATGTAAATAGTATACATCTTCAGCTTATTGAAAATTTATTTTCTCTGATTCTGTAAGAAAACACACACATATAATGAAATAATTTTGATTTATTTTGGGTATTTATTGTATAACCAACTTTAAATTTAGGAAAGTGGAATACCATTCTCATCAAAAATAATATGTATATATTATAATCACAAGAGCAACACATATTTATTACAGAAAAAAAGCCACATGGTTATGTTTCCACTGGTGCCCAAAGATAACTGCACCTCTAGGTGGGTCTCCCCTGAGTCCTCCAGCAAGGAGCTGGCCAAGGTGAGGAGTTTACACAGGTGCCCTTGGATGGTTGTCTCTCCAGGATGCTCCTATAATGTAGTATTTTTAAGTGGCACACTTCTACCTTTAGTACGAGCAGGCCCTGTTCTTGTCCTTAAGCCTAAAATGTAGATGGAGAACACGGCACTAACTGGAAATCCTATGCCTGAAGAAACGCTGGTGACAGTGAAGGAGAATCATTCTTCCTTTCCAAGACTGCCGTTTCCTCCTCCTCTCACCTCTTCTGGGACCTCGATCCATATCTTATCTTCTTTTTTTCATCCATACGTGATCTTTCCTTTTCACTGGCCTCAATTCTTCTGTCTTAAAAATGCTGAGATTGTTTTCAAAGCCTTTCCTTCACCTTGCTTTCCCCCCCGGCTGCCATCTGAGTCCCCTACTGCTCTTGCTGTCAAACTCCTTGCGAGAGTGGCCCGTGCTTGCCGTCTGCACTTTTCCCCACCTCCAGCTGGCTACTCTTGTTAACTCCTTCATTGGTTTCTTGCTTCATAAATGACCCAAACCTTCATTTGGCAGCTACTCGGGAGGTGCATGTTCTCTTAAGGGCAATGGCAGCCGATTTCTGATATGAGTAACATTTGGATACACAGAAATGCTCAACAGCCATGCTCCAGACTCTGAAATGGAGTTCCTAGGGGAGTCAACGCAATGGAAACGCCATGCTCTGTCACAGCTGCTGGCACTGAAGTTGAGCAAGAGGAGGTGTGGATTGCCAATGAGGAGAGAGGTCCCCTAGATACTAAGATGCCCCAGATAAAGAAATTGAAAGAATGGTTTCAAATAGGAGCCCAAATTTAGTGTGCTAAAGAATCTAACATGTTCAATGTCTGGAATTTGTCATTTCTGTTCAGTAGTGAAATAGAAACGTGTGCTGTCTTTGGTCAGGTTCTTCCAGAAGCTGACCATGAGCCAAGGATTTGGGTGTAAGTAGTTTGTTAAGGTACAGTTCTTGGAAGAAACCAGTAAGGGAGTAGAAGAAGCTGTCTGGGAAAAGAGAAGCAGCTAAGTAAAGGTGCTATTTCAGGTGAAGTTCCTGATTCAGCCTAATCTCCTGGGGTGCTTAGTGTTGACCCCACCTTGAGGCACAAGAGCTGGGCTTTTGCACTCCCACACCAGTAAGTCATTGGCTCCAGGACATGGTGGTGGAGGATGTGAAATTCCCAGGCACTTCCTCTTCTCCTTACAGGCTAGGGGCTCCAGTGTCTGAGGGCAGGCCACTGAAGGTTGTAGGTACAAATAGTTAGCAGCAGAAACACTGAAGATGGGAATGAGTGAACAGAGCTGGTTAAAAGGATCCAAGGGGATCTAGTCAGGTCTCCAACAGTATCTGCAACATGGACCTAAAAGCTACTCCAGGGTGATGGTTCCAGTGTAAAGTGGAGCAACTACAAAGCATACAGAGCTGCTGAAACCATTGAGCACCCAGGACTAGTGTGGCCATTCTGGAGACAGCCTAGTACTGCTTAGATATTAACTATGCACAAACCCATGATCCAGCAGCAGTCTTACTCCTTAGATGTCCCAGAGAAGTCACACAATTCTCCATGGAGACTTGTACAAAGATGTACCATATAGCCTCATTTGTGGTAGCAAGAACTAGATAAGTTAAATGTAATAAATACATATTCCCATTTATAGTGATTTTTTTCTTACATAAATGGATCATTCATTATTTATTGTTCTGCAAGGGCTTTAAATATATTATAGATATATTTTATATATACTTTTTATAATTTGAAGAGATAAATAATTTTAAAGAAAATTATAAAAATTGAGGGATTAACTAAGCTACAAATGTCAAAAAAGAGCAGAAATAAAAAGTAGCAGGATATACGGATAATATCCTCGAGGACGAAGAAAGGAAGAGGTGCAGCTGTGTCCCTCTCCCTTTGTTTGGAAAGTCACCACTTCCCCATCCCCAGCTCCAGGAGTTGGCCCTGCTGGGCCTCAGCTGGTCAGCAGAATTTCATCCCTCCAAACAGGGTTTTGATTGAGAGGGAGGGGAAGAATTCCAGGTCTAAACCCAGTAGGTTTAATAACAGAGAAAAAATTGGATCTAGGAGAACAGTTTTTCTATATGCACAAATGTATGCCCCCCAAAATCTAAAAGAGCACGTATGGGTTCCCTTTACCTGTTCACATTTAGTAGATTTTCTCATTTTAGAATATTTTAAAAGCACAAGAACTTAACTGAAGTTAATCCTAATAGTCGTACTTTGGCAGAAATAGAGAGCTAAAGTTCATGGAGAAATGGCTTTATTCTGAAAAAGCATGTGTAAATGGAGTGAGTGAGGTCTGTGCCTGGTGGTGCCTGGGGCCTGTGATTCAGCTAACCACGTGCTACAGAGTAGACTGGGCAGCGTCATTACTCCCATGTGGGTCAAATCTATCACACAACACCAAATATACAACTGTATATACCTTCATAAACTCAAATTCAAATACAAAGTCATTTCCATGTAGTTAAACTAGATAAGGGAACTGTGGTTTAGGACCAAAAAGAAAAAAATTGTGGAATTTTCTATATTCCCCTAGGAAGATTCCATGACTCTTCTGATTGTATCTAGGGTTGGCACTGCAGTTATTAACTTATTACCTCCAGGAAGAAACACATTTGATAGAATCTTCTGAATAATATTAATGCTAAAAGCTTAGGACACTAGGAGATATTAGGAGTTCTGCTTCATCAAATCAAAAGTGAACTATACTAGCATGGGGAAAGCCCAGCTTTGCAGTTACAATGTTATTTTCATTCCTTGATTATTTCCTGATTTTAAGAACTGAGGCCAGTCTCCTTTCAGTTTTAGAAACAAAAACTTCATCAAATCAAAAGTGAACTATACTAGCATGGGGAAAGCCCAGCTTTGCAGTTACAATGTTATTTTCAGTCCTTGATTATTTCCTGATTTTAAGAACTGAGGCCAGTCTCCTTTCAGTTTTAGAAACAAAAAAGTCAAAGAGTATCAGTGCTGCCCAAATATAGACACTGGTTTGACATTGTTACTACTTAGAGGAAAGCATGACAGAAGGTTTTCCAAATGTAGGATTACTTTAAAAACTACTGGGGTTTTTCAGTAAGAAGACCCCACTGGAATTTCAGAAACAATCAACTACATATGGTGGATGTGTGCTCTGATGTAACTTTGCTTGTTTGAAGTATAGAGTAAAATCAACAAATACAGGGCTGGACTAGATTATTTTACAAGAAAAGGAATCAAAGACTCAGAATCACAGCCTGGTGGGGTTTGAGAAGACTGATTCTATATTTCCTTCACTCCAGTTATATATAGTTTTCAATACTTTATCTAGTAATACTGTTAAAAACAATAGAGGTAATAGGCTAGTCAAAGATTCACATTTGTCTTGGCTATTTCCTGGACTTAATCTCCAACTTGTTTCATTTCCTTAATAATTTAAAATGTACTGGGTGGGTTTATTTTTGAATGGATAAAACATGCATATACTGACATAAAAAATCACAATGCAGAGACAATACTACATTGCTTGTTATAATGCCATTCTCCCAGCAGTGATATCATATTTACGTTGACTTAAATGAGAGTTGTGGAAGTGAGAGTCCTCACACTTTGTCCACTGACGTTCACTAGCTGAAGACAAAAAAATTCTGACCACTTATTTCCTTTGTGCCTTTACCACACTCTCTGCTGATATCTACTGAGTCACCACCAAACACTTCACTGCACTTATTTATTTATACATCCGACTTCATGTTCCCAGCAATCCGTACAATGTAATATCATGAGTGTTCCCTATATCTGTGTTGAAAGAAAAGATAGATGAAGAGAGGGAAGGAGGGAGGAAAATGCCCCTGTGGAGCACAGGGGCATTTTAGGGCACTGGGACTCTTGTGAATGACACTGTAATGGTGGATATGTGACATTATACATGTGCCCAAACTCATAGAGTGTACAGCGCAGAGTGAACCCTAAGGTAATCTATGGACTTTAGTTAATAATATCGCACCAGTATTGGTTCATTAACTGTAACAAGTGTACCACACTAGTACAAGATGTAAACAATGGGGGAAACTGTGTGCAGGGAAGGGAAGAAAAGAACACTCTGTAATTTTGGATTAATTTTTCTGTAAACCTAAAACTGCTCTGAAAAACATAAGGTTTGTTAATTTGAGCAACAACATCAAAAGATGAATCAAGATGATGTAAACATCTAGCAAAATGCCCAGCAAATGTCACTGTGGGCCCTTTGAAATGGTGACCATAAGAGGACTGGGGGATGGGGTGGGGATTTAGGTTCCTACTGGAAACACAGAGAAGTAAGTGAAGAATCATCAATTCATCATGGTGTTTGGGGATGACTATATTTTACTGACATGATAAACTCATCCAGCTACTTTGAAATTATGTTTTCTAAATGGGAAAGGGAATGACCAAAAAAGTCTTACTGCCAGTTATCATTTTAAGAGAAATTAAGAGAAAATGAGGTGATATGTATAATGTGTATATACACGCATATACATACACATATGTCACTATTACAAAAAAACTCAGTGAATATTTCCAAATTTTCTAAAAATATTCAATCTCTTAGGTATGCTTTATATTTCTATACATTTCACAGAAAGTACTAGGCATAGTTAAATGACACACACATTTCAAATTTGGTACATGATACTGATTTTACATCAAAACTTAACATTAAAAAAGATTGAGCTTCTGAAAAATAGAATTTTTTAACCCAATCATTATTTTTGAGCTTAACATAAAAAATATGTTCGTGATTTCCTGTAACAAAACACCATTATAAAAAGAAAATATAGGTTCTTAAAAATTCTTTGAATAGCAACTATTAAACTGCCATATGTGGTTGTCACTCTGCTTTAAGTATCTGTATTTGTTGTAGCTTTAGAATTTATGTTTTAAAAATAAAATAGTGACATGAGAAACATTAACCTAGTTACTCACCTAAATACTGCTTTTTTCTTTTGCAAAATATATGTAAATAAACTCAAATACTCAATTTTAGATTATTTATGCAATTAAAAATATTGGCACCGGATAATATTCCAAATAAAGGTGGCTTAAACCCATAGTGTGTTTGATCCCCCCCCCAAAATCACTTAAAAAAATAGAAAATCTTGTCATAATCTCTAAACTTCCATGGTGACCAGTTCTCATTGAACATTTGATAGAACTCATGAAAGCTAGTCATGTACTTGAAAACTCTATTTTCATGCAAAAGTAATAAATTTCCTTCTGGTTTCATTTAACAGTCTCTGTTCTCCCCAACTCCCACCATTTCTAGTGGTTAATATAACATGCAGACTATGTAATTTAGATAAATTGCAGAAACCAGATTCATAGACTTTGTGGGTATATACCAGTCCACCCTCTGCTGTTTCAGAAGACAATTTTTTTTTCCACGGGTGGGACTGAGTTAAGAAGGATCATAGAAGAGATTTCTGGAGACACAGTTGCTGTGTGATTTTTTTTCTTTGATAGGATTGGAAGGAATATTGATTAATGTTTCTTAAAATGGTTAGTTAATACTGTCCTTATGGCTGCTCCTATCAGTATTGTGGTTGTTTTGGTCGTGGTTCTTCCACTGGATGCTTGTTCCGTTCATGGGAACCGAGGTCATCAGACTTTTGGACTGGTAACAGCAGCAACAGAGGCAGGACTGGGAGAAAGAACAGACGCTAAATAACATGAGCCTATAAGCCCAATCCCAGCCAAACGCTGGTACCTTGGGCTCTCCCAACAAGGGGCAAATGTCCACATACACTGAGGACAGTGAGCTTTATCTTTATGTGGACTGTGGAGCCTGTCATCTCTGGGCAGAAGTTACATTGCACATTCCACTGTCCTTGTTTCCCATTTTAATTCTGTTCACCAAGTGCAAGAGGAAGGGAAGGCAGTGTTGGCCAGAGGGAGGGTTCTGCACAGCTTGGGGCAGGTGTGGGTGGGAAGGGCCTGGGAGGGGGCTGCCGGCTCTTCAGTGTGCACCGCCTGTGTGACTCTCTGCGTCAGGTACCCCATCAGATCCTCATAACTGCCCTAGAGGGTAGGTGCTATGTCCCCTGTTTTATGAATGAGGTCTATGAGGCTGAGAGAAGATAAGAACAGGCAGACTTGGAATTAGAACCTACCACTCTTTAGATTGGGCTCCTTTCCTTGGGTACACTGTCTTTTTAGAAAGACATATCAAAAACTGTATTAATTTCTGAGTATTTGTACCTCGATTTTTCCCTTCTCCCATAATTAATATGTAAATTAATTAGCAAGGGTTATCAACTCCAGCTTATATAATGTATGAGTTCTGACCTGCATGTTAGTCAATCCATTTTAGGCAGAACATTTTGTGAGTGGTAAACATTTTCAAGGAGACCAAATTTCAAAAACATGGTAGCTAAAACTTCTATACCAAGTTTCATCTATTTGTATGATTCTTTGGTTAATATATGTCTGTCTCCTTTTAGATTGCAAGTTCCATGAGGGCAGTTACTGTGTTTTTCCTCTCTACCATCTCCCTAATAATAATCAACTCATGTTGAGCACTTATTTTTTCAAGTGCTTTACGTATGTAGACCCATTGAACCCTACACTTCTGAGAGAGATACTGTGATCCTCCAATTTTACGGATTAGGAAACTGAGGAAGCAGGCAGGGCACTAACCAGACCTGGGTCAGACAGTTAGCAAGTGCAGAGCCATGATGTCGATCAAGGTTGTTTGCTTCTACAGCCTGCACCCTTAACCTCTACGCTACTCTGCCTAATACCTATCATGAACTAAAGTTAAACATCCTGGCCAAAGATAACAAAAGCCAGTTAGGGTTAAGTGTATGTTAAAATCATCCCAGGAACTGGAAAAATAACACATCAATACGACATGCTTGGAGCTTCTGGAGGATGTGGGTGGCTTAGCTAAAAGGAGATTTGAAAACAGAAGGGAATTGATTTCAAATGAAATCATACTAGTTCAGATTTCCAGAGCAGTAAGCATTCACTATCCCTGAAGAGGCTATTACTAAATGTACTACTAAATAGCATTTAGCTAGAGTTTTTTAACAACAGAGTTTGTTTTGTTGAGACAGTGGTTAAAGTCTAAGACATTGTAAAGTGTGAATAGGTTGAATGTAGTTTGTGTGGCCTGGAGCTCACATCTGAGCATTTCTTTTTAAAGGAGCATGTAACTGCATACTAAACTAGCATGTACCTAAGTTAGTCTGTTTAATTTTAACCTCTGAATATGTTGTTATTTGAATAGATACTGCTTTTCTGTTATGCTGACAATCTGACCTTCTTTCTGAGTAACAAAATACGATTTTCACTTCTCTACTGAAAAGGAGTACAGCTGATAAAAGTAGTATTACAACCAGAATTGGTGTGCCTGTTGGCTACTTAATATATGCATTTGGTTGTCCTTAAAAAGTGCTTATAACATAGTTTTACCTGGAAACAATTTTTAAATTTCTTGCTCACAAAATATAGAGCTATTGGGTTGATACATGAATTCATGGTTGCCAAGTTAATACCGATGTAATCCATGAGCAGCAAGAAACTAGAAGAAAAGAAATAGTGTAGAATAATTAGAACATATTGTTTTAAAATATGTTAACTAGCATTTCTCTCTAGAATAAGCATTTTTCTTGCCCAGAAGCCATTTCTTATAGGTGGCAGTTAGAATCATGCAAAAAGTGCTCATTTAAATGGCAATTTCAGTTCTGCAGGATGGTTACAAATATATCAACCAGTTGGTTAGCTCAAACCCTTGCACACAGCCTTAGGACGGGAGTGGCAAGATAATCGACTTGGCTTGCACAAATTTTGGGATCAGTTATTGGCTATGTCAGCTAATAAAATATAATCATTTTGCAGTTTCAGGACGAATGAGAATGTAGACTCATTTTGTAAAAGTATTATAAATGTGAAAATCAGAGAAACTCCAACTTTGTAATGGATACAAAGAATCATACCTAAGTAATTCGCATCGGTTCTTGTCCATCTCATCATACACGGTTTTCTTCAAAATACGGCTTAAATGAAGAGGGAACCAGCAAAGAGCAAAAATTACGACCAAGCAGAAAACAGTTTTTGCCACTTCTCGACGCTAAAGGAAAGTGAGAAAAAAAAAGAGTACAGTAAGTTTAGTGTTTTTATAGAGATGAAAGAACTGCTCAACAAGGAGGTGGTAGCTATCAGGGAGAGAGTAACTCAAAGAAGAGCCAGGAGAGTGGCCTGCCTTACGGTGCCTCCACCTCGTCAAGATTCTGAGTCCAACTTTCTAATCAAGGAGTTGTTAGTGATGTTTTTGGGGAGCCGCTGGGAAGGATGGGGGCCTCACTTGGTCATCAGGGCCAGTACAGAGCCATATGTCAGGATAGAGGTGGGAACTGACTGGAGGTGAGCCAACCCTACAGCTGAGTCTGCCTCTGTGTGTGTAGGTGGGTGGTGTGCAAATGTATGGGGGAAAGCTTAGCAGCAGGTAACTAACATGCATTCATGATGGCATGGCAGGAAAGGTGACTGAACATAGCAAGATAATGAATGGGCAAATCTACAAAGACCTTTGGAAAACAAGATAAGGGCAGGAAACAGAAATCTTGAAGATAGCTAGCTTTGGATTTCTTTGCTTTTTAAATTCTTTTTTAAAGGACATACAGTTTCTAAAGACATATTGTTTATAAACAGAGGGATGCAAGTAAAGGATCATCAGGATGATTAGAAAATCTGGGACATGCTGACCCTGGACTGACTTCAATTGAAGGTTTACATGCCTTTGAGTCTGCTCAGGATCAGAAAAAACATACATTAGGAATGATCTGCAACCATTCTTTTGTGTGCATTGTGCTTGGGTGTTATACTGCATGCATATAGAAGCCTAACTAGGAACATAAAATGCAGCCTGTCTGTAACTGGAATCAGTTAATGTCAAAATAAAACTGATTGAAAACAGGATTTGGAGGGGTAATGTGGTTCAACCCAAAGCATGTAACATTAAGTCTGGGAAGCTTACAATAAACCCACATGATTAGTTGAGCCATTCAAAAAGATTCTGGGGCAGTTGTCACAAATTGCTGCTCTAGCCCAAAGAATTGGGAGTTCTTTAATCTTTCATAGTTATTGGGCTAGCTGGGATATGGCTTCAGATTAGTGACTGAGGAAAGAAATAAAGGATTTCAATCTGTAGTTATGAGGGATCTTTTTAAAGGGTCATTTTGTATACACAGAAAGACAGTGTGCCCAGAAAAACAGAAAAAGAGTGTATCAGGGAGAGGCTACCTCCCCTGAGCACATACTCACAGAGGATGACTCTTAAAAGGTAATATTAATACATTGCCATGACAGTCTGATATTTGCTTAACCAATATCTGTTCTCCTGTCTTCCTTACCATCACTCAGACCCTTGATTTTGTTATGGCAGCAGGGGAGCCTGGCAGAATCATCTCCCTGGCCACTGGACACAGTTCTGACCAATTAGATGAAGTTGAAATTGTTGTGCAGATTTCTGGAAAAGCTACTCTGGGGGGGATACTCCCTTGTTACACACACACTAGTGTGGTATATGTTCTTCCCCTTTTGCTGCCTGGAGATCAGATGTAAGAGCAGAGCTGCCACTGCTGTCTTCCTAGACTGAAGGAAAGATCAGCAGAACAGCAGACACCTGTCCTCTAGGTTCCCTGACAACTGACCCAACATCTGAACTTTTTGCTACAGGAGAGAGATAAATCCCTACTTGGTGAAATCAGTGTTACTTTGGGTTTTCTGTTTCCAGCATCCAAGCACAATCCCTAACTGATAATGTTGTTGTAATCACAATGAAGAGAAACGAGAGACAACCAAGCAAGAAACAAGACCATGATTCCTACAGAATTTTTGCCAAAGGGTGGCAAGGCTGTCTTCTTTACATTTCCTCTCCCACATTCCCACTTGAAAAACTTCCAGCCAGGCTTGCTTTTCGGCTGTTAGAACCTGCTACAGCTTTGAGTGTGACTGAGGATGACGTCTACTGCATGAGGACCAATTCTTGGGTTCTAATCTCCATTTGTTGAGCAAATCTCTTAACGATCCATATAATATGGATGATATCTGTCCTATCTCTCCCACAGGGTGCTTGGAAAAATCAAACAAGAAAAAGACATGGAAATGCTCTTTAAAAACTTAAAAAATGCTATGTAAATGTGAAGCAGCATATTATTATTGTCCCAATCTCTATTTAATTATTTTCAGAGAGGTACCACTCATAGCTTAAACAGGTTAAATCATGGTGCTAATGCAAAAATCTGTATTTTAAAACACGATTTTTTCACAAATCCATTCTAACTAATTACGTCCATTGCAGGAATAAAAGGTAATAATTACTTCACATGTTTACATCTGGAGTATTTGAAACATTCATGCCTGAACAACGTCATACTAAAGTTTTTCCATGCAATCTCCCTGCATAATGTCAATAAAAGATAATGGCTGCCATTTATATGGCATGTTAGATTTTACAAAGTACATGTATGCACATTTATTCCTTTGAGTCTCATAATGACATTAATCCATATATCAATATGTACAATTTACAGATGAGGAGCTGAAGCTCAGAAAAATCAGTATCGTTGTTGAAAAGAGCTGTTGATGAGAAATGATGCTCATGTATGGTAACTATATAGGACAGATTTACAGACTCCATCACCAGCCCACATAAACTTTTGGTGCGGTTGGATGTCCTTATATTCTTGTCTGTTGTGACCTAGAATGTACCTGCAGTCTTAGTTTTACTCTTTGAACTCATATAAGTTAGTATTTGCTGAGTACTTACTAAAATCTGGGTACCATCAGGCACCTTACATGCCTTAGGTAATACCCATGATGTATTATTAAGGACATTTTATGAGAAACCAGAAGTTCAGAGAGATTAAGCAGTTTACCCAATGTCACAGAGCCAACAAGTACAGGAGTCAAATTTTACCTGCTAAAGCCCACAGCTTTATCTATTCTATTTACTGCCCAGGAAGGACCAACATTAGCCTCCTACTGACATGTTCGAATTCTTTCTAGAACTTTAGGCCCTCCAAATTTTACCTCTTATTATGTACATGATCCCATTTCCTATCATGAGTCTGACCTTCAATGTTGCTCTTATGAGGTTCATCTCTTTTTCCCCACTCCCCAAATGCATGGTGCCCGTTCCACATTCTAACTAGACTCCCATCTTCCACCTGAAATGCCCTCTGCCTTCTTCTTTCCCATCAAATCCCATTTATCCTCCAAGGCCTGGTTCAATCCCCATAATCCCTGAACAGTTTCTCCAGACTCTGCCTCATATCCTCCCTGGCTTTCTATAGCACAGGCCACTTTTACCACACCTTGTGATTTTATTTTCCAGTTGTTTCATGTTTGCATTTTATTTCCACAACAAGACTGTAAAGCCTGCAAAGGAAGAAAGTCATATGCTTTTTTTTGTCCTGGCACAGTTGCAAGCCCAGTTAACATATAGACATACATACATACATGTTCAATATACTCTTGGCAACATAACTAAATTGTTCCTCTCTATTCGGGCCAGCCTCCAGGACCACCTGTTTCACAGGCAGTCTCCCCATTTCACAAAAGAAATTCCTAACACTAGAACTATAAAGAAAACAGTTACAAGACAATATTTTGATTTTTAGGACACCAGACTAAATCTGCTAAATACAGTATTTGTAGGCTTGCTGTTGTCAAGGACAAAAGTCTTGGCTAGATTTTCATGATGGAATTTACCTGTTTAAGATGTTCACTGAGGGCGATTCTCAAGCTGCCATTCCTTCTGTTTAACATCTCACAAGTCATGAGGGTATAGAAGATCGCAGTGCACACCAAGGGCATGCAGAAATAGAACCCAAAGAGCCACCAGTCCTTTACATCTTGGTAGAACTATAAAGTGAAGAAAAGAGAGAGAAAGGAGAGGCAGAGTGATGTAAATCAACTGTGTATTGCCTCTGGTAGCTTCAAAATCTTTGTACTTGCAGATATGTTTGTAAATTTGTGCTCTTTGGTTACAATAATGGGTTTGGGCGTGGTGCTCAAAACTCATTAAACTTGAAATTCCAGAAATTGTCCTACCTTTATAACAGCAAATGAAGAAACTGCATTTTTAAAAAAGTTATCCCAACAAGGGTACTTTTTATAAACTGAAGTTGGTTTCAGTTACACAATGCAAGAGCCCTAATTAATAAAAAGAATTCCCTTCCAAAGCTCATAAAACATGAGTTTGAGACACGAAGAACATATATGCTTATCTTTATTTATGGAAGAGCCTCAAAAGTTTGCTAGTGCCTGGTTTACTTTTGACCTTTATGGCTAAAGTGTACTTAACATGAACATCTTGTTTGGAAACAGCGAAGGTTATGGATGGCTTATCTGTGTAGCTTTGGCTAATGGGAGTTCACCGTTTGCTTGGTATGTCTGCTATGTGACCTCAAAGCCAGCCAGTGCGAGCCATCAATAAATATACTCTTTCTCCCTCTTTTAATACTTACCACCTGGAAATTATTGAGGCAGCACACCTTTTCTGAAGGCATATTTAACATTATCTCCCTCTGGGCGGGATTTGTAAATTCCAAGATTATTCCATTTTATGTCTTTTTAAAGGAGAAAACTTAATACCCTATAAAAATGCAAGTTGGAAAATTATATCTAAATTGTTTTTCCTACTAAATTAATCACCAACTTGGAAGAAATGCTTTCTCTTTCCTTATAATGTTTCTCCAGATTGTTTATTTACAAGGACAGTGAAGGCTCCTGTAATATCTCAGTTCCCACAGTAAAAAATATCATGTTGCTCTGTGAAAAACTGGACAGTTTCTGAATATAGAAAGAGGCCCAGTGGGCTACATTTATAATACATCTATTTAAATAACCTAAAAATGGCTCCTCCTGAAGACAAAAATGTTTGGGGCAGGCATTTTTAACTATTTTTATGCTGCAGACACTTTTAGAAGTCTGGTGAAGATTATAATTCCTTCTCAGAAAAATACTGTACATGCATAAAATGAAAGACTAAGACTACAATGGAAACCAATTATATTGAAACACATCAATGAGAATATTACAAATAAAATTCTGATATAGTAATATATGTATTTATTAATAAATAAAACTCATGGTAGCTCTAATAACTACTAGAATGTTGATGTAGTGATGAGCATAAATGATATTTTGAGATTATACAAGTGTTATGTGGTATGAAAATTCTGCTATTTCTTTTAGTGAAAAAGTCATAGTACTGTTAAATGCTATTGTGGTTTGTTGGCTACATTCGTAATTGAAGAAAATAATAAATTTGAGTTAGAAGTTAGTGAAAATAAACATGTCATTTCTTTCCCATCCAAGTTCAGACCCCTGAATTTTATCTTCAGGTTAAGTGCAAACTTCCCAAGGAGTTGGTTTATTTTAGTCTGCTTATACAAATATTTCCCTATCCCCATCACATTGTAGAAAGATTTCAGTACTGAACTTAAAAAAAAAAAAATCAGATGGACTCTTTTTAAAAAAATTTTTTTTTATTTTTTAAAAGATAACCGGTAAGGGGATCTTAACCCTTGGCTTGGTGTCGTCAGCACCACGCTCAGCCAGTGAGCGAAACGGCCGTCCCTGTATAGGATCCGAACCTGTGGCCTTGGTGTTATCAGCACCACATTCTCCTGAGTGAGCCATGGGCCAGCCCTCTTTTTTTTTTTTTTTTTAAGTGCAATACAAACACTCCTTTTATCACCCCCTTCTTTTGTAGCCCCTTCTTCCCGATGCATTGCTGGCTGGGTGGAAATGACCCAGAAGCAGTTGCAGAGGGTCTGGAAGCTGACCCCTGCCAGAGCTGGATGGAGTCCCCTGGCCACTCCATGGCAGAGGCCTGTAGAGAAATGAGCCACACATTTCTTTTGAACTGATGACATTGGCAAGGGTATGGGGGGGGCATCACATCAGTCTAGGGTAGAGCAAAGTTAATGAGGGAAGAGTGGAGAAAAGATGGGAAATAAAGTTAGAAAAAAGGGATGGGACTTTAGACTTGGAATTGGAATGAACTCTAAAAAATTATTAGTTCCACTCACCCCCTTTACAGCAACCCTCTAGGCCACCCCTACCTGAAGGATAGTCACCTGTAGTGGATTGAATCATGTCCCCCCAAACTCCCTGAAGCTTTAATTGTGTCCCCCAGGTTTTATGCATTAGAAACTTGGCTCCCACTGTGACTGTTAAGGGGGGGAAATCCTATTATGGTAATTGAAAGGTGGAGCCTTGAAGAGGTGATTGAATTGTAGGACTGTGCAGTAGTGAATGGATTGTAAATGGTGGTCAGGGACCTGGTTCTGAGGACTTTAAAAGAAGAGGGGAGTCTGTCTCTCTCTCTGCTCTCTCTGCTTCCACCATCTTGCAATGTGAGACCCCTGGGTCACCGTCACCACCACCAGATGGACTTTGGACTTCCCAGCCTCAGAAACTGTAAGCGATAAATTTCATTTTTTTTTTTTTTTTATAAATTACCCAGTTCCATGTTTTTTTTTTATGAGCAACACAAAACGGACTAATACACCACTTGAAAACTTCTATGCATGGGACTCAGTCTT